CAACAACAACAACAGCCAGATAAATAGGACAGTCCGTAAGTAGGAAAATGGAAATAAAGTGTGGTATACCCATGGGATGGAATACTCATGGTATCCAGAAAGTAAGATGGATGAATTTGATCTTTGTGTCCCAACATTGCTAGATCTTCAAAGCCACAATATTAAGTTTAAAACTCAAACAGAAGAATGATATACTCAGCATGATATTGTTTACATAGACTTTTAAAAGACACAAAACAACATTATAAACTTCGGTGGGTGCATTGAATTGTAGTAAATGTATGAAAACTTGGATTGAAATGACTCATGTCAAATGTATCAGTGGTTGCCCCTGAAGAAGAAGGGAGGGAGGGGAGCGAAGGAAACTACATAATTATCTGCAATATATTTGTTTGCTTTCTAAAGACTCGAAGTAAATATAACAAAATGTTAATATTTTAAATTACTGGGTCATCATTACCAAGGAATTGTTGTTGTTTGTTTTTTGGTATTATTTTTTTCCAAAAAGAGAGAAAAACATAACAGATCATCCGACACGTAAATTCTAGCATTCTCTGTGGGCTAAGGCCTATAGGGGGAATCTCTGCCAAGTATTTTTTCTGCAGAACAGTAAAGACAACTGAAGTGAAAATGGGCAAGTGAATCTAGAAATAGGCTTCTTTCTTGTCTAGAAAACACCAAAATTAGAAAGAGATAAGAGGTAGAGACATACACACGTACATACATACATACATAGGCAGGTGAATAGGTAGATGGTGTGGTAGGCAGAATAATAACCCCCCAAAAGATGTCCACACCCTAATCCCCGGACCCTGTGACTATGTCACCTTACATGGCAAAAGGGAATTTGCAGAAGTGATTGAGGATATGGACCCTGAGATGAAGGAGCCCTGGTGGTACAGTGGTTAAGCAGTAGGCTGCCAACCAAAAGGTCAGCAGTTGAAATCCACCAGTCATTCAGTGGCAGAAAGGTGTGGCAATCTGCTCCCATAAAGATTACAGTCTTGGAAACCCTTTGGGGCAGTTCTACTCCGTCTCATGGGGTCACTATGAGTTGGAATGGACTTGGCAGCACACAACAATAATAACAACTTGAGATGACAAAATTATCCTGGGTTACTCAGGTGTGATGGTTAAGATTGTGTGTCAACTTGGCTGGGCCATGATTCTCAGTGTTTTTATGTGATCACTCCCATGATAGAATCTGCTATGAGAAGCCAATCAATTGAAAGGGATTTTCCTTGAGGGGTGTGGCCTACATCCAAATGTAAGCAGATGTTCTAGCTTTTTGCTCTCTCTGGATCCTGAAGCTGCCTCCTGTTCATCCGACCTCTGGTTCTTGGGACTTGAGCTATCACCTTATCTGCCAATCTTGGGATTCATCGATCTTCACAGCCTGAGACTGGGAGCCCTGCTCTCCAACCTGCTGATCTTGGGTTCCCCAGTCCCTGCGGCTATGTGTATCAAGAGAAGCCTCTATCCTGCTCCACGGACCTGGGATGTTCCAGCCTCTACAGTCGCATCAGCCATTTCCTTGATATAAATATATACGCTTTACTGGTTTTGCTTCTCTAGAGAACCCAGCCTAAGACAGCAGGTGAGCCCAATCTAATCATTTGTGCCCTTAAAAATGGAGGAAGGGAAGGCAGAAGAGTGAGTGAGACAAGAATGAAGAAGCGGGGGGAGGGTTAAAGTGTGAGAGGGACTAGACCCACCGCTGCTTGTTTTGCATATGGAAGAAAATGGCCATGAGTCACGGAACTGAATTCCACCAACAACCAGGGTGAGCAGAAAACCAACCCTTGCCCAGAGCCTCCAGAAAGGAACACACCCTGCAGACACCCTGTTTGCAGTCCCGTGAGACCTATACTGAACTTCTGACCTCCATAACTGTAAGAAATAGAATTGTGCTGTTTAAAATAACACATTAAGTTTGGTAATATGTTACAGCAACAACAGAGAACTAAGATAGATAGATAAATAGATTAGATAGATGACAGATAGATAAGTAGGTAGTAGGTAGACAGACAGATAGATTTGTTATTGTTAGGTGCTTCCAACTCATGTGACAGAATAGAACTACCACATAGGATTTCCTAGGCCATAATCTTTGTAGGAGCAGATCACCAGGTCTTTCTCCCAAGGAGCCACTGGGTTGGTTCCAACTGCCAACATTTTGGTTAGTAGCCGAGTGCTTAACCATTGTGCAACCAGGGTTCCTAGATAGATAGAAAGGTAGGTAGGTAGGTAGGTAGGTAGGTAGATAGACAGACAGACAGATAGATCCCGTACTTTTCCAAATGGAAGTCTTTCTGTCTGGTTCTCTGCAAAGGAACTAGATGTAAAACAAATCCAAGGTAACGATTGACTTCCATTATAAATTGGCCATAAATTGCCACATGAAAAGTAGACACATTTTAATAAGTAGAGGTGAAACTTTTGAAGAGAAAAGATAAGCTCTGTGTATAGCTTCCTAAACAGTGAATTTGAAGTACTATGAGAAGCATAGATCACCTTTCAGCATTTTCCCAACTCTAGGACTCAGAATGGAGTCCCCGCTTGGTGCAAACAGCAAACATGCTCAGCCGCTAACTGAAAGGTTGGAGGTTTGAGCCCACCCAGAGGTGTCTTGGAAGAAAGGCCTGGTGATATACTTCCAAAAACACAGCCACTGAAAACCCTATGGAGCAACGTTCTTTTCTGACACATATGGGGTCTCCATGTGTTGGAGTCAACTCAATGGCAACCAGTTGGTTGGCTAAGGCTCAGAACTGGGCCCTGGAGAGAACATTTCTCCAGGAGGCACTAATACCTAACCACACCACTCCACCACCAGAAGATCGGAAAATTTGAGGCTTCAAGTGGGTGAAACAAATGGGTAGTTTCCTTTACCAAGTCTCTGCAGTCAGAATAAACAATGACTTGTAAGAAATTTGCCTTTATAGGGAACCCTTTCCTTATAAGCCCAGTATCATATTCGGTTGGAGTACCTGGGTGGTGCAAACAGCTAGCATGCTCTGCTGCTAGTCAAAAGGTTGGAGGTTCAAGTCCACCCAGTAGCATATCAGAAGAAAGGTCTGGTGATTTACTTCTGAAAAATCAGCCATTGAAAACCCTAAGATAAGTGAGTTTTTCAAGGTTGCTGAAAACAAGGTCAGTATGGAAAATCAGTTGTACAACTATGTGCCAGCCATAAAAGATTAGAAAAAGAAATTTAAAAAATGGAAAGATATACCATTTTTATGGATCAGAAAAACAGCAGTTTTCCCCAAATTGATCTGTAGATTCAAGTAATCCCAATAAAAAGTCAAGCAGTGTAAAAATAAAGAAAGAAAGAAAACCCTATGGAGCACAGACCTACCCTGAGACACATGCGGTCTCCATGAGTTGGAATCAGCTCAGCGGGAACTGGTTTGGTGCTTCCCCCTGGGACCTCAAGCACCTTGAGAAAAGGCGCCATACCTCCCCAGTGCTGAGCACAGCGTCTGCTCCTTTGGAGGCCCTGCAAGTGGTCATCTTCCAAGATGGCCCCAATGCCTCCTGGTCTTCACGACCTTGTGTGGCCCTCTCCACAATGAATAGGGCTTACCCATGTAACCCAGAGGTCCCTGGGTGGTGTGAACAGTTTGCAGTCAGCTACTAACCAAAAGGTCAGTGGTTCAAATCCACCCTGCAGCACTATGGAAGAAAGGCCTGGCGATCTATTTCCTTAAGATCACAGCCACTGAAAAACCCTGTGGAGCACAATTCTACTCTGATGCACAAGGGGTCACCATGAGTTGGGGTCAACTAGACTACAATGCATTTTTTGGGTTGTGTAATCCATATGATGTAGAAATGGCAGAATGTGACCTCTAAGGCTAGGTCATGGAGGTGTTGTGGCTTGGCCTTGCACTCGCTGGGGTTGCTTAGTCTGGGAGAAGGGAGTCCTCATGTCATGTGTAAGCATCATGGGGTGGAGTGGGAATGCTAGGAAGCATTAGGGGCCTGGGAACACTGTTGATGTTGGGTGCCGATGAGTTGATTCTGACTCATATGGTGACCCTATATGACAGAGTAGAACCGTCCCATAGGGTTTTCTAGGCTGTAATCTTTACAGCAGCAGATCACCAGCTCTTTCTCCCATGGAGCAGCTGGTGGGTTGTAATGCCCGATCTTTAGGTTAGCAGCTGAGCACTTAACAGTTGCACCATCAGGGCTCCTTCTGGGCACACTAGGGGTATGCATTAGAGAATGGGGAGAGATGGTGGAGGCAGCACAGAGCTGCCCTTAGTTCGAGAGCAGGAGATGGTGGGTAATGAGGTGGACAGTTTTGTGGGGGGAGAGGGGGCAAGAAGGGAGGGTCCTTCCCTGGTTATGGAATTTGCTTTTTACTCTGTAGGCAGTGGACAGCCTGAAGGGTTTTGAGCAAAGGAGCAAGACAATCAAAGAGAGGCACAATAGAAGTGGTATGAAAAGTCACCTCCCGTTTCTTGTCGGTAGATACGTGTGCGGGCATATCAGAGCAGTGAGAAGTCTGGAAGGGCATACACCTAAATGTTAACAGAGCTTATCTCCGAGTGGGGAGATTACTAGGATGTTTGTCTTCTCTCTGCTCATCTGTATTTTCCAATTTTTTTGCAAAGGGCATGCATTGCTTGCATAATTAAAAAAGCAATAAAAGCTGTGAATAATTAACACCCTTCTCTCTCCAGGGCTTCAGTTGGTTGGATGGATTTTCAAACCAGCTCTTTCCAATGTTTGCTGGGTTCCCAGCCTTAGAAAGGCACCATTGATGAACACAGCTGGTGGGGCTGTGCTGGGCAGGCAGACAGTGAAACAAACTTAGTCCTTTGACAGTGAAACTCTAGATCTCACTAACAGGAACCCTTTCTCTGGAGCACAGAGGTGCCTTTTGAGTCTCACATTAAGTTCTTCTTGGGGGTTGAGCTAAATCGCTGTTTGCAGTTCCTCAAACTGCAGACACATGTGGAAATGATCAAGGTGGCCACGCGCCCTACCTTTTGGGGTTGATCCTCAGTTTTTTCTGCCTGCTGATCCCACGAGATGTCTTCGCCCTCCTTCGAGGCAGTCCTTTCCTCTGCTCAGGCTCAGACACCCAGTCCTGGGACGTCACTCCTGGGGCGATTGGGCAGGAGAGCTGAAAATACCAGTCATGTTGGCACCACACTGCTCTCATGATGGGGACAGCCCAGAAGGGTTCTCTTTCCACAGACAGGGTGCCTGTCTGGGGAAATTAAGGCATGGAAATGCAGCATCCTCCAGTGGCCTGAGCCTCAGAGGGGTTCTGATCAGGCAGCTGCAGAGCGTTCCTGGGCAGACCCGTCTGGAACTCTGCCTGGGCTGGATCCACAGAGGGAAGACCAGACCTCTGGTGTTAACTAGAGACTCAGGGAACAGCGTGGCCAGCTCCTTCTTCTCTTCCCACTCCACCTACCCAGGTAACCCTGCCTGATTCCTAATTGCGTTTTGGAGGAAGGAGGGCTAGTGGGCTTTGAAGTCCCCCTCTCTCCCTCACCACACCCAGGATGAAGAAAGTGCTATCACACCTGCAGGCTCCACCTGGGGAAAGAAGGGGCAACCTGCAAGGCTCCCGACTCTCGGCCCTTGTCATTGCTCTGTAGGGTTTGATTAGGACTGAGACTCTGGGATTCCTCTGCAGGTGCCCTGGCCCAAGCCACCCTACAGCAGGACGGTGCCCTCCACTGTAAAATCTACATGCACCACCTCACCCTCAAGATGGGACTCTAAGTTTGTCATTTAGTCACCAAGTGAGAACACCTTTGAGCACCCACAGCATTTCCCTTTTTGCTTCTGCTCCCAGGAGCCTCAGAGGTAGGTTTGGGTCTTTTGCAGATGACTTTTCCAAATTCCCCAGTACAGTGACTCTCTTCTTTTAAGAGATGGCTTTTGCCTGGGGTCTACCTCTCAATAAGAGTCTCTAGCTTATACTCGTGGATTGCCCAGATTCCTCCCTTAGACTGTATTTCATTTCCCTTTTTGCCTCTGTTACCAGGGAGCTCAGAGTTAAGTATTATGTCTAGCTGTGAAAAAACATTTCACCCAGACTTTGGACACAATAATTCTTACCTTTGAAACTTTTTTACGATTTTTTTTCTTTTTGGTTGTTTCTCTTTTTTTTTTTTAACCTTAGTTCTTTAGTTCCCTCCTGCCCTATGTATGCCCCTCGGATGTTATTCATGGGCAGGTGCTACTGAGTCAGCTTCCCACTCTCTCTCCCGTTAACAAGTCCTGCCTGGCTGAGCAAGCACTCACAGCCTCAGGCCCTGGGCAAAGCTGGGCCTTACCTTGGACATCTGCGCAGGCCCTGAGTCTCCTTGGCTGGTCCTGATCCGTCCTTCCAGAGCCTCGTCCCGGGGGCCACCCCCAGTGAGGTGCAGTGACAAGTACACAGACGAGGTCTTCTCCTTCTGCTCAGCGGGCAGGGGGAGGCTGCGGCTCAAGCAACACCACGTCAGCCGCGGCTCGGCCTTCAATGAGGGGAAGGGGCCCTCAGCCTCACCACTCCTGGGGTTCCCTGAGTGGGGAGGCAAGGCCAGCTCAGGCCAGCTCGGGGGCCGCGTGATGGCTGAGAGGAAGGGACCAGGCTGGGAGGCACAGCTGAGGCTGAGCTGCGCCAGAGGTCCTGAGCGAGGGTCTTCTGATGCTTTCTCCCAGGTGGATGGCCAGGGATTCGGGGCACCCCCAGGTGGTCTGGCCCTCACTGACACTCTGCCTGAACAGAGGGGGTGGAAGGCGGGGTCCTCAAGCTCCGTGTCCCAGGCTGAGCAGGAGCCAGGTGTGGGGGTGGGGGTAATGGAGGCCAGGTCCTGGGCTCCCAGGGGCCTCGTAGCCACTCTTTCCTCTCCTCCCTTTCCTGCCCGTGCCCCTTCCACCCCGTCCCGTGCCCTGAACCAGTCGGGGTCCTTGGTGATGCTGTCTGCCTCTTCTGGGGTCCTGCCTGAGGCTGGCCCAGGGGACAGGTGCGTCTCCCTCCCTGACCTCACAAAGGGAGCCCGTTCCTCAGGCCACACCCCCTTGCAGAGAGGGTCCTGTCCTTGCCCGTGCCCCTTTGCACTTGGCAGCTCAGATGGGGTCTCTCCCTGAGGCAGCCTGAGGAGATACTTTGGGGTAAAGGCAGAGTCCGGAGCCCGGGGCAAGGCTGCCAGCTGGAAGCTTCTCCTGTCTGGGGCCTGGGGGTAACACCCAGGGGACACAGCCGCAGGATGCAATGGCGGTCCCTTGCCCCTGGGCCCCGCCTGCCTCAGAATGGCCAAAGAAGAAGTCCAGGAGGCACCAATGGACTCCAAGGGCGCGTTGCTTCCACGCCCCAGGCGGTCAGCACTTGGGGGCAGCCCCCCTGGCTTCTCTGCAGGCTCGTTGTCCAGACCCCACGCTGGCAGGGAGGCGGCTTGTGTGGGGCTCTCAAGGGACCCTCCTCTCTCATGTCCCATTCCCAGAGGCTCTGACTGGCCCTGGCCCCCGAGCCCCTCCACCTTCAGCTTCTTCCTCTCCGAGGGAAGCCTGTCCCCCATGGCCGGGGCCTGGCCAGGAACACTGCTGGGTGGCCTTGCGGTGCTCTGGGCCCACAGGCGGCTCTCCCCTCCGCCATCGCCACAGCTGACTCCTTCCTGTTTGGGGGCCCCGGGGTCTCCTCCTCTGAGGGGGCCAGGTCCCAGGGACAGCTCACCCCCTAGCTCTGGCCTCTCATTGGGAGGAAGCTGAGGGCTCTTGCAACCCAAAAAGGGGGGATCTTTACAGGTGAGGATGGAGGGGGCCACAGCCCCATTCACCCCGGCCTCATCACTGCCTCCTGATCTGGCCTGGCGCGGCTCGGCCACCATGGAGAACTCTGGGGTCACCTGGCCTCCCCAGGACCCTGGCTCAGCCCCAGAAGAAATAGCTACAGGAGGGAGAACATCCCTACAGACGGGGGTCCTCACGTCCCCACAGACGGGGGTCTTCGCGTCCCCACAGGCGGGGGTCCCCGCATCCCCACAGACGGGGGTCTTCGCGTCCCCACAGACGGGGGTCCTCGCATCCCCACAGATGGGGGTCTTCACATCCCCGCAGATGAGGGTCCTCGAATCCCCACAGATGGGAGTCCTCACATCCCTACCGATGGGGGTTCTCGTGTCCCCAGAGATAGGGGTCCTCATGTCCCCGCAGACAGGGGTTCTCGCATCCCCACAGATGGAGGTCCTCACATCCCTGCAGATGGTGGTCCTCAAATCCCCGCAGACGGGGGTCCTCACATCCCCGCAGATGGGGGTTCTCGTGTCCCCGCAGATGGAGGTCTTCACATCCCCACAGACGGGGGTCCTCACATCCCTGCTGATGGGGGTCCTTGAATCCCTGCAGATGGGGATCCTCACGTCCCCACAGACAGGGGTCCTCACATCCCCGCAGACAGGGGTTCTCGCATCCCCACAGATGGGGGTCCTCACATCCCTGCAGATGGTGGTCCTCGAATCCCCGCAGACAGGGGTCCTCACGTCCCTGCAGATGGGGGTCCTCAAGTCCGCGGAGGTGGGGGTCTTCATGGCCTCTGCCTGCACGGTGTCTACCTGGGGAGGTGGGTCAACTCTCACCTCCCCGGCCTTCTTGCCTCTGTGGGTGCTGGTTTTGCCTTTCTGGTAGATTCTCTTGAAGGTCTCGTCCCCGTACACCTGCCACTTCTCTTGGGAAAACATCTTCAGCTTCCTCTGGCTGCCTCTCTTCCCGGCCACCCTGCCCCTGTTGGCCGCCCCCTCCCCTGCGGTGGTCCTCTGGTGGTCCTCTGCGAGGATGGGGCTCTCCCCCAGGGTGGTGCCAGATAGGTCCTCCACGGCGGCCTGCCGCACCAGGGCCCTGGGGTGAGTGCTGGGGACAGCGGACAAGACCGGGGTGGGCCTGGAGTTCAGTAGCCTCTGCTTCTGAGGGCAGGCCTCCCGGGGGTCCTGCCAGGTGCGAGTGCTGTCCACGAAGGGCAGTGAGTTGCTCCTGGTGACGGACACACACTTCGCGGTGGTGGAGAGCTGGGTGGGGACGGAGTGGAAGGAGAGGGGCCGCGCCTTGTCTGGCGGCGGGCAGGTGGAGCGAGCTGATCCCAGGGTCGCTGGCCGCCTGCGGCCGGGCTCCAGCGCGTGCATGTTGAAGTGGAAGGAGTCCTTGTAGGTGTAGGGCCTGGGCAGGTCCAGGCTGCCCTGCTTGGACAGCACCGTCTTGCGAGGCCGCACGGTGTCCAGCTGCGGGTCGTCTACCACGGCCTGGTTGTGGGAGATGAGCCGTGCGATACGCTCCTCCAGCCGCTTTTTCTCCTGCTCCAGGGCGGCCGCCCGCTCCCCAGGCCCCGGGCCCCCCTGGCCCTCGGCGCTGTGCTCCGACAGGCTGTGCAGGGGGCTGGCAGGCACTGGTGGCTGCTCAGCGCTGTCCGAGCGGGACAGGTAGCCCGAGTCAGAGCTCTCACACTTCCGGAGCCGGCCTTCAGAGCCCTTGGCCTCCCAGGCCTTCTCCCAGGTCGTGGCCTGCTGCCGCTGCAGGGGACAAGGCTTGCTGGCCGTCGGAGACTTCTGCTCCAGCGGCTTCCTCCAAGGCTGCGGCCCGATAGCGTCCCCGTCGGCACACATGGACCCGGCGCAGGGAGCAGCTTCTGGCTTCACGTCCAGTCTCTCGGCCACAAGGGCCAGCTGGGCGGTGGACCCCAGGCAGTGCCCCCGAGAAGGGGGTCTCTCGGACGCCTCGTCGCCCCCGCTCTGGCTGCGGCCGTCCCTGCTGCCGTCCGCTCTGGGGGTCTCTCCAGCCCTGTCCCCCTGGTCCAGGAGGCTGGCGCTGCCGCCGTCAGACTCGGAGGACCTCCGCGAGTTGTTGAGGTGCGTCTGGGTGCGCCTGTGCTTGTACAGGTTGCTCTGGGTCTTGAAGGAGATGCCGCAGGTGGCGCAGGGAAAGGGCCGTTCACCCGTGTGGGAGCGGATGTGCTTCTCCAAGACACTGGGCTTCAGGCAGTCCCGGGCACAGTGTGGGCACAGGTACCGGCCGGCGCTCCGCACCTTGCCGGGGCTGCCCAGTGGGGGCCCCAGGCCCGGCGACAGCACAGGCAGAGCACCGACGAGGTTCAAGGTCAGCACCGGGGCGGGCGGCTTCGCCACCTGGGCAGGCCCAGGCCCTTCGGGCTGCAGCAGGGGGCTGAGGATGAAAGGCAGGCTGGCTCCATCCAGGCCGCCAGGCGCTAGGGCAACGCGCGGCTGCAGGCCTCCCGGAGGCACTGTGTGGTACAAGGGAAGGGGCAGAGCCTTCAGGAACACAGTGGGGGCCAGGCCCTGCTCCGGCGGCAGGAAGATGGGGCCGAGGGTCAGGCGAGGAGAGGCCTGCCCACTGGGGGGCCCAGGGGTGCAGGGAGCAGGATGGTCCCTGGCTGGCGGGGCCTCCATCCCACATTGTCCAGCGACCTGTGGGCAACAACCAAATGTCACCATGCAGTAAACTCTTACCTGTCCCACTGAAGCCTGACAACAGCCCCATCCCCAAAGAGTCCTAACCCTTTAAATCCAAAGAAGAATCCACTGCTGTGGAGTGGATTTGGACTCATAGCAACCCTATAGGACAGAGTAGAACTGCTCTGTAGGGTTTCCAAGCTGGTAAATCTTTATGGAAATAGACTGCCACATCTCTCTCCCACGGAACGGCTGGCGGGTTCAAACCATCAACATTTTGGCTAGCAGCTGAGTGCTTTAATCAAAGCACCACCAGAGCTCCTCCTATCCATTTCCAAACCCATTGCCATCCAGTCGATTCCGACTCATAGTGACCCTATAGGACAGAGTAGAACTGCCCCATAGGGTTTCCAAGGAGTGGCTGCTGGATTTGAACTGCCAACTTTTTGGTCAACAGCCAAGCTCTTAATCACAGCTTCCACCAGGACACCCCTGTCCCTTTACCTAGGTCAAAAAGAGGAAACCGAGGCTCAGGGTGCTACAGCCGCTTGTCATGCAACCGGCAGGTGGCAGAACTGGGATTTGAACCAGGGTCTGTCTGAACCCTGCCTCCCAGGTAACAAGTCCCAAGGGGGCTCAGTGGTGCCTGCAAGACTGGGTTGTCACTGCCGATCCCCAGCATCCGGGCAGACGAGCCACTCAAAAACCGTGCTGACATCACCAAAGGGAAAGTCTTGTGGCTTGTCAGGGGCTTCAAGGTCCAGGGGGAGTCTGTGCACTTAGGGCAAGTCTCGTTGAGTCCCTGGGACTCAGTTTTCAGATCTGTGAAATGGGCCGGAACCTCTCTGGGGTTCAGAGTCTCTGCTACTGGGTGAGGATGAGGAGGAGAAAAAGTGCCCAAGGGTGAGGCTGCCAGAGCTAGCAAACAGAAACATAGGACTCCCAGCTACATTTGAATTTCAGATAAACAATGAATAACTTTTTTATTATTCATATAACCCAAATAAGGAGCCCTGGTGGTGCAATGGTTAAGCGTTCCTCTGCTAACTGAAAGGTTGGCGGTTCGAACCCATCCAGTAGCTCTGAGGGAGAAAGACCTGGCTATCTGTTCCCATAAAGATTACAGCCCAAGAAACCCTATGAGGCAGTCCTACTCTGTCACATGGGGTTGCTATGAGTCAGAATCACCTCGATGGCACCCAACAACAACGTGACGCGAATATTGCATAAGAATAATCTTCAGTATAAGTCCATGCCAAGTCTCACATAGAGTATACTAATCCCAAGAAAGGATCCGTGTTCATCTGGAATTCCAGTTTAGCTGAGTGTCCTGAAGCAAGAAAGGAACGCTTCATCGGCCTCAGGATCAGGCTTTGCTCCCTCCTCAAAGGGAGGGTTTTGAAAGCCCCTCCAGCTCCAACTGGTTTCCTCTGACCCTGGGGTCAGGGGCAGCTGGGCAAATGCTCTGGCAGGGAACAGGAGATGCCCAGCCACGTCTTTAGGTCACAGAAGGGAAAGCCAGGTACAGCAGTGGGGCAGGCCATGGCTGAAGGATCAGGGCCCCAGAACCTTCATCCCCAAGAACCCATCCCAGGCGCTCCCATAAGCACCCTTCACCAATTGTTCAGTTCAGTTCCTCAAAAAAAAGAACTCCAAATTCCAGCCTTGATGTGGTCTTAAAAGCCTGCGAGTGGCCGTCTAAGATAAGTCTACTGGTTTCTATCCCTGCTGGAGCAAAGGAGAATGAAGAAAACCAAAGACACAAAGGAAAGGTTAGTCCAAAGGACTAATGGGACCACATCTACCAAAACTGCCACCAGAATGAGTCCAGCACAACTAGATGGTGCCTGGCTACCAATACCGACTGCTCTGACTGGGATCACAATAGAGGGTCCTGGAGAGAGCTGGAGAAAAATACAGAACCAAATTCAAATTCACAAAAAAACAAAAGACCAGACTTGCTGGTCTGATGGAGACTGGAGAAAACCTGAGAGTATGGCCCCCGGGCACCCTTTTAACTCAGTACTGAAGTCACTCCCGAGGTTCACCCTTCAGCCAAAGATTAGACAGGTCTATAGGGCCAACAATAACACACGCGAGGGAAGTGCTTCATAGTTCAACCATGTATATGAGACTAATGGGCACACCAGCCCAAAAGTAAAGACGAGAAGGCAGGAAGGGACAGGAAAGCTGGATGAATGGTAGCAGGGAACCCAGAGCGGAGAAGGGGAGAGTGTTGACACATCATGAGGTTGGCAACCAATGTCACAAAACAATTTGTGTATTAATTGTTTAATGAGAAACTAATTTGCTCTGTAAACTTTCACCTAAAGCACAATAAAATAATTCCAGCCTTGAGCAGCCAGGTTGTCTAACAAAGTGTGTCGGAAGCGAGACAAGCTGGAGCCAGCTCTTACAGCCTTGCTCCAGCTCATCAGAGCCAATTGTCAAATGTTCAGGAATTTTGCAAGCCAGTTGTTAAAGATAACCATAATTAAAAGTTAAATTACGTAAACTTACGACTAAATAGATTCTATTAAAGGCAAAGGAACTAAATACTCCCAGTCCATCACTTCCTAAGCCTATTACATCTTACCGTTGCCAATGCTCTTGAGGCTATCGATGTCAATTGTATCTGCAGGGTGGAAGTACTTTATCATAGTGTAACACTGCACATCCCTTGCCAACTTAGTGTTCACTAATACCATGTCCATAGCTAGAAACTGGTCACGGCGGGAGTGTTTACACCACAGAAATGGGCAGATGCTACAAATCAGGCTTTTTTATTTTATTTCTTTTGCTCAGCACTCTACTGGGCAGAAGGAACCCTGGTGGCACAACAGTCAAGTGCTCAGCTGCTAACCAAGAGTTTGGCAGTTTGAACCCACCCAGCAGCTCTGCAGGAGAAAGACCTGCTTCAGTAAAGGTTGTAGCCAAGAAAACCCTGTGGGGCAGTCCTAATCTGTCACACGGAGTTGCTGTGAGTCGCGACTGACTTGACGGTACCCAACACCTGGGGAGAAGGGAGGGCAGGTACGGGCATCTCGTCCATCATCTGTTCTTACCACAAACCTCCGCCTAGCATTCAGATCTCTCAGCACCATGCCACCTGTGAGGCTTTCTTGCCCAAAAAATCTGAGACCTTCTAATTTTTTAGGGAAGATTCAAAAACAAACATCTTTGGAGATTACTAGGAGGCCACTAGAATTCATGAGAGTGGATCTGAAAGGACAATAAAGGCTGACCTCGAGACACTGTATCCTTCCCTGTTAGCTGCAGAGTCTCCAGATGCTCCCCAGGGCACTCACGGGCTGAGTTCCTCTCTCTGCTTATCTGTCTGGCTGCTGGAAAGCCCTGAAACTCAGTGTCCTCGGCTCTAAGAACAGTGTCATTAGGGCAGAGCTGCCTAGAGGAACAGAGCCCCTGGGTGGTGCAAAGAGTTAATGCACTCAGCTGCTAAAAAAAGAATGGAAGTTCGAGTCCATCCAGAGGTGCCTTGGAAGAAAGGCCTGGTGATCCAAATCTGGAAAATCAGCCATTGAGAACCCTGTGGAGCACAGATCTGCTCTGACACATGTGCGGTTGTCGTGAGTCAGAGTTGACTATACAGCAACCGGTCACTGGAGGGAACAGTCCTGGTTTGAGAGGAGGTGGAAGAAAGGAAAGTCAGAGGGAGGGAATGAGACCCTCCACGTTTACCTCAGCGGGACATTGAGTGGACAGGAAACCAGGGGACCCTTGCCCCGTGCAGTCTGGAGAGGCCCCAGGCCCCAGAGCAGAAACTTTGTGCCCCGTGCCAAGTGGAAGGAATGGAGAAGCCCACCGTGTTCTCAGGCACTAGCTGTAGAATGAACCCCAGAGCACCCAAGAACTGCCCGGAATTGACCAGAAAGTTGGGGATCAGAATCAATGCAGAGGTTGCAAGAGGGGTGTCTCAGTGGAGACTCATCAGGGAGCTGGGGTTGAGCATCATGAACCTCCTCCAACATAAATCCCATCTTGGTGGAAAGAGAACAAGAAGGGAAGCCCAGAACTGATGGCCCAAGGTGCAAGGAGTGGGCTTCAAAATAGACATTCTAGAAGAAGAGCATTCCGTCTCTGACACGCCTGCCACCATCCTTCTTTTGCTCTCTCAGCAGCCTGTTCTGTGATCACCGTGCAGTCAATGCCTGTTTGTAGCAGATGATCCCTGCTGGCGAGATAGCATGGACTGACACCTCCTCCCTGGGACACCACTGGAAAGGTGCTTTCTCAGGGGACCTCCAAGACCCAGTCACTTCCTCTCGCTCTGAATCAAGGAGGGAGAAAGTCCTATTATCCTGTGGACAGATGGGGAAACTGAGCACCAAGTGTAGATGTGGCAAGGATGGGTCTAGGAAGCTCCCTGACCCCTGCCACCTAGACTCATTGTCCAGTGCTCCCTTGCTCCACCCCCACCCCAAGGGAAGCCATTCAGAGAACTCACAGATTCTCCAACTTCTTTGTCCTACCACTTGCCTGGCTACCCACCTTTCCCCAACGGCCCACGCCACCTAAAACCAAACACCAGTTGCCTTGGAGTTTACCCTACCCCATGTGTGTCAGAGTAGAACTGTGCTCCATAGGGTTTTCGGTGGCTACATTTTTAGAAGTAGATTTCCAGGCACCTCTTCTGAGGCACCTCTGAGTGGACTCGAACCACTAGCCTTCTGGTTAGTGGCCAAGCATGTTAGCTATTTGCACCAGCCAGGGACTCCAAGGGAATATGATACTGGGCTTATAAGCACAGTGTTCCCTACAAAGGCAAACACTGGTTCTATAGCATTCTGACTGCAAAGATTTGGTAAACTATCCATTTGTTTTACCCACATGAAGCCTCACACTTAGCTAATTTTCTGGTGGTGAAGTGGCGTGGTTAGGTGGTAGAGACTCCTGGAGAAACATTCTCTCCACGGAGTCTCTTTCATGTCTGGTCAATCTTCGGAGACATAGACCCAGGGCCCAGTTCTGAGCCCTAACCAACCAACCAGTTGTCA